AAATCAGGCCCATTCTTAAAGCCTGTTTCTCAACATGTTCTCCATATGTCCTCCCTCATTTTTGTCTCTGCCCCTCCCTCCTTCACTTATTGCCTCTTCCATCATTCCATGGCACTTGTTTCATGCATTCGTACCCAGACTTTTGACAGAACACCTTGTCTCGATGATTTGGAACCATATCATCTTTTTCCAAATGGATCAAACTCTTTGGGAGCAATGACTGAGTCTTGTCCATGCTGATATTTACCTGGCTCAAGGTAAATACTAAATGTGGATGAATTCAATACTTCTTGATGCCCATGATTATGCCAGGCATTCTTTCCTATGGTTTCTACCATGGGGAAAACATTTGGCGCCGTTTAAGGGTTAAGTGGAGGCCCTATGATTCATCTGGTCCCACCCTAAGAAGCTTTTTCCAGCTTCTGTTGACTGTTCCTATTACCAGGAATAAGACAAACACTATCTTTTCCCTCATACCTACCTTCTCGGTCCCCTGGGTTGCATTCCTGTGCCAAGGATCTTTTCTTTTTGACCCACCTTCTTTTGAATGTATTTATTTGCATTTCCATTTAAACATGTCTCAAAATGGCATCGTCAGTTTAATTTTGGTTTTACTTGAAGCTCAAGTGCAAGAGCTCTTCTGTCTCCTATCCCAACAAGTACTCATTTACTTATGTTTTTACTAATTGATCAAATAACTAAATAGCAACCAAGACACTAAGGGACACAAACTTGAAATCAATCGCTTTCCTGACTGCAAGGTGATCCCAGTCTAGTAAGGGAGATAAGACATGCACAGAAATCATTACAATACCAGGGAGATGGCAATAAAAGCCCTAAAGAGGAGATAGATCCACTAGGTATTAAATATACTCAGAGGTGTGAGAGCTCATTCCCCCAGAGAGAGGAGAGGCAGGACCAGGAAAGATGTCAGAGGGCAGGTGGAATTGCAGTGGACCTGAAAGAATGAAGCTGGATTTGCACTCACAGGGACAGTCAGGCAGAAGGAAAAAAACTACAGCAATGCCCAGAGGTGGAAAAGTACAGGACTAGAAAGAGTGAATAGTTCACTGGGCTGCAGCACTGCATGCTCAGATGAAGTACTGAGGAATATGGCTCAAAAGTTAGGTTGACATCCATGTGGGGATGGATCATACCAGGAGGGGACTGAAGCAGGATGACCAGTTGAGAGACATTTTCAACCTTCTGAGTGAGAAGTGAGAGGGCTGTAGCAGTGAAAATGGGAGAAAGAGATGGGTATGAGAAATATTTCAAGAGTTGCCTAAATTCCTTCAAATCTCCTTGACTAATTCTCCTCAAAAATTCATATAACCATTTTCATTGCAGGCTTCATACTACATTCCCTGCCCCCACTTTGGAAGCTTATCTTTTTATCTTCCAGGTGCATGACTTTCTGCCCAATTACTTGTCGTCAACTCATCAAAGCAACTCAACCATGCAGCTCGAAAGTCTCACTGTCACGCGTGGCCTCCGTTGCTCCCTTGCGCTGTCTCTGTCCTCAGCAATCTTCATCTATGTACTCGGAGAACAACATTTCTAAATCTCCTGTGCCTTTACAACACAGTTCAGTCAAAAGGTGAAACCTGGACGAGGATGTTAGCACAGGATGGGGGAGGAAGTGGCAAAGGGGTAGAGCCCTCATCTGACTTCATCCTGTGTATGCACACTTGAGTCATTTCCACCATGTCCCTCTCTTACTGGAAAGTGAAGTGAAGACTAAGAAAGCATAGGCTGGGGATATGGGGAGCTACCAGGAAGGGATCTGGGGATCTAACCAGCCCAGTAGTATAACCATCACCAGTCCTAGGAGTCACTGGCAGAGAAAATCAGAAATGAGATTGCGAAGGCCTGTTGGCTTTGCCTCTACTGACCAAAGTGATTTCAGCCTTCTTTCTCTGGGACTCAGTTTTGAGGTCTATAAAATAAGGATTATGACATCCATCTATCTGCCTCCATTGAGCTGTAAAGCTAGAATAGGGTGAGTATGTACCTACTTTGAATATGTAAAACACAATTTCATAGGCTTATTCTCATTTAACTCAGACCCCACTCATTAGGATAGGTAGATATGCAGAGAAGAAAGAGGAATGTAGATGCCTAATGAACGGAGGCTGTGGGGGGTCCCTATTTTCCACAATAGATCTACTAGTAAGGTGATTGGTGGTATGAAGATTCTAATCCAGTCTCCTTATTTGACAGATGAGGAAACTGAGGCACAAAAAGAGGGAATAGATGCTCCGTGGTCACAAGGTGAGTTCAGAGGACAAACCCAGGTCCTGACGATCCCAGGCCAGTTCTTTTTCTGCCCTATATCCTAGCTCTCCAAACTGAAGCCAGAATGGAAACACGAGCCCAGAAGCTGGACTTATTTACTTCCTGAATTATTGGTGAAGAGTTAGATAATTGGAACTAAGGGAGAACTTAATGTGGGCTGGATCATATTCTATTTCTTTGAAACATTGTGTTTAGAATCCTAGATAAGCATTTTTCTAAGACCCAGAGCATTCATGTCCTGAAATGAAAGACTCAGTTCCAAATTGGGGATTGCCTATCAAACTTCTTTCTCCTTCCTCAGGCATAAGAGGGCTCCAGAATAGGAGAAGGAGGAAAGCTTTTTCCTATTAGTCAGTAGCTGACAAGTATCAAGGGCTTTGAGGTTCCAATGCTCCATTAAACATTTTACATGTGCCTTGCCTTATTTGATCTTCGTAACAACCCTAGTTGTAAATAATCTCAGTATCCTCATTTTCAGGTTAAAAAACAAACGAACAAAAACCCGAGACTCAGATAACTCAAGTATGTTGAGTCACAAGCTCATGGCAGGTTTGTGCCTAACACCTCTCTAAACCCCAGGGAGATTTTTTAATAGGAAGGAGCAGCTTCTGCTCCAAATGTTTTCTGCATGGGCCCCTGCAAAGAGAACTGTCCAATGGTGTGTTCTTTTCACCCAGAAGAATCTATGAAGTACAGACTCTCTGTGCGTATGTTTCTGTCTTTTGGTTCATTCATTATTATACAAGTATTTCTGAGGAGGGCATTGTGCTACCACCAACAGCTGAAACACACCTCTGCCATCAGGATTTTGAAGGCTGGTTGAAGGCGTGGGGTGGTGGGAGACACATTGCCAGATAGCTCCCATCAAAGGAGGACAGTCATGCTACCAGAGAGAGACACAGAGGTATGTCTGGAGGTGTCGAGGTGGCAGAGTGGAGCAGGAAACATGTCCGCACAACTAGAAGGCCAGTGCATTCAGGAGAGGCAAGCAGGATCTAAGCTGAGGGTAGGATGCAGGATGAGAAGGGGCTGGAATTCAGGCCAGAAAGTCTGGGGCTGATGTTCAAAGGACTTTGAGGCTGCGCTAAGGCACTTATTTCTTCCCAGAGTGCCAGTGCCAAATCAGCCGAGATATAGGTGGTGCCCTTGTGTGGCTTCTTAGAGCCTTAGTTTCCCCTTCTGTACAATGGAAGCCATGGACATTGCCTACATGAGTCTCATGTGGGGATGGAGCAGAGGGAATCAATAGCAGACTGTGTTGAGCTCCTTCAAGGTAGGATGTGAAGAGAATGCAAATCACGGATATTTATAGCTGTAACAAACTGAGACTGGAAAGATATTGCTGTGGGCCAGGCCGCCAAGCACTCCCTCTGGAAATCCTGAAAACCTGCTGCCATGGGCTTTGCCCAGATCCCAGCTGGAAGCGGACTTATCTCTTCTCAGCTCCTGCCAGGCTGTTCTTCATACAACAAACACCAAGCTCCTTGCATAATCCCACCTACAGAGAAGGAACCTCCACACCATTCTGCCCTCCCCTTTCAAAGAACCATGCTGAGTCCTAAATTCCCAGGTTATGACAAGCTCCTTTTTTTGTCATCTGTGCCTCACCAGACAGCCTTGTCAAGTCTAGACCCTCTGAGAGGGCTGGGAAATCAGCCTGATGTTCCACTAGTCTCCTGACACAGCCCCTCTTTTATGGAGCTTCCCCTGTTCCAGGCTCATGCTGGGCATCATAGCAGAGCTGATAGAAAAGGACAGTGGGGGGCCTGGCCCCCAAGGAGAGAGAGGGAGCAGGGTCCTAACATCAGGAAAACATTTTTTCTAACAAAGGAAGGGAAAGACCACTTTGATTTCAATCTTTTTCTGTTTGATTTTTTAATGAGCTGATCTTTTAATGGAAATGGAACTTTTTTTTCAAATGTCATGCCTTATGGGGCACCCCTTATGGAGAGCACTTTTAGTGACCTCTCAGGTACTTTGGAGGGATTCTATAACAGTGTTAATAAAACTTTGATGTGCATAGTAAATATAGTTAAAATGCAGATTCTGATTTATTAGAAGTCTGGGTGGGTCCTGAAATTCTGCATATCTAACAATCTTCTGGTTGCTATTGAATCCATGCTGATAATCCATGGACCACACTAAGTAGCAAGGGTCTAGAGCTCTAAGATTATGTTTGAAAACCATTGACTCTTAGGATAGAGAAACTATGAGCCTCATCACTCCCTATCTGGAGATATTGAGCCAAGGCTCCTGGATTAGATTATCCTCTTCTGAATTGAGGTCAACTTCTGCATTCAACTCCACACCAAGATCTAGGATTACCTCCTTCTTACCTCCCTCTGGCTGTAGCTGTCTATTATCATCACAGGGCAGTCTGGGAAAATTCCTAAGAGGCTTGGCCATAAAGAAGAGGTTTAAGGAATAGCCTCACTCTAACAGAAAAGTACAAGAGGTTCAGAAAAATCCTCCCCACCCCATCCACCACCCAAACACACAGAAGGGAGAGAGAGAGAGAGAGAGAGAGAGAGAGAGAGAGAGAGAGAGAGAGAGAGAGAGAAACTATGCTCCTATTAGTTCTTATAAAAGATGGTCCTGTGACAGCCATCTTCTCCCTGCCCTCTCCTAACCCCAGATGATGAAGGATGGAAGTAATTTTCCTCACATAAGCTCCCTGTCCCTCAGACCCACCCCTTTCAGGATTGAGATGCTCTCATTGAGGTCAAAGATATTTTTAGCTACGCTCATGTGTCCCATGCTTGGCCAAGCCATCCTGGATGTTAATCTTGGATTCCACAAATGCCAGGTCTTCTAATCCAAGAGGCATAGAAGTGACAGGGAAATCTGAGTGCACTGGAAAATGTAGCACATGGCCTTTTGAGGATTTTGTCCAATTGCCCTGCATGATAAAAACAACAGTTAACACCTAATGCTCAGAAAATGCTTCATCATTTATAGAGTACTTCCACTGACATCGCCTCATTTGATCTTCCCAAGAGGTTCAGGAGAAAGGTAAGGCAAAAAAGTATTCCTATTTCTATTTAATGGAAGGGCCACGTGGCTTGGTAAGATGACAGAGCTACTAAGTGTCAAACTTGGGGCTTCTCTCTCTAGGTTCAAACTTCATGTATTTTACCACACTTCCATGCAACCCCAACCTTTTGCTTTTTCCTCAGGCTTGGTTTTATTGTTTTGGTTAAACATTGCAAGATATCTGTAAATCTTCATGATAAAAGTCCTGGGACTATAGATGCTTTTAAAAAGAAGAAGACTAGAGATGAGGAAGAATGAGACAGCACAGACCAGTCATGATTATGGGAGAAAGCAGAGGACACACTCAAAAGAGAGTGACCAAAGAGAGATTAACTAAAGGATAATTTACAAAAGCATGGGCAGGTTAAGGAAAACCAAGAGATGGTGATGCTCAGCCAGTGTGGCTCAGTTGGTTGAGTGTTGACCATGAAACAGGAGGTAACAGTTTGATTCCCAGTCAGGGCACATGTTTGGGTTGTGGGCTTGATCCCCAGTAGGGGGCATGCAGGAGGCAGCCAATCAATGATTCTCTCTCATCATTGCTGTTTCTATCTCTCTCTCCCTCAAATCAATAAAAACATATTTTAAAATAAAAGAGATGGTGATGCACCCTAAGGCTAACAACAGCTGAGAACTGTTATCAATCCTGGGCCTAAAAGGGCAAAGGGAGAGGCAGATTCCAAAACCTGGTAACTGTAAACTAGAAGAGGGCTAACCTACAGCCAGTAGAGAGGGTACTACAAGAAGAAATATCCTCACTCTTTCATTCTCCCACCCTCCAATCACCTATCAGTGCCAGGTTGAATCCAACCAGAAGCCAGAGGGCTGGGAACCTACTGGTCTCCATTAAGGTCAATCTTCTGGAGAGAAAAGAAGAGAAGGAGGAAGAGTGGACTTGAAGGGTCAAACAGAGAACACCCAGCACATAGCTACTCATAGCTACAATAGCCAAGAAGTTGGTGGAGGATGGCGTGGCATTGAGTCTGAGGGGCTAGAATTTGAGGGGTAAGTAAGTGGTAGCCCTGTCCTCTCAAGAGTGGAGTCACCCCAGAGCCCAGCTGCAGCTCTCTGGGAGCCAATTTGGTCCCAGGTCTCAGGAAAAACCTGCTAACCACAAAGGCAAGATTGGCCATCCTGGGGTCTGGGTTTAAATCCCAGTTCCTCCATCTTGCTTTGTGTGACCTTGGACAATTCATTTAATCTCTCTCATCCTAACCAGTTTGGCTCCTCTGAGTCTCTAAGTCAAGCATGTCAAGCTCAAAGGCTAACATGGGCCAAATAAACAAGGTTTAAGTTTATGTGGGCAGCAAAAAACAAAAGCTTCAATTTTCATAGAAATGTAGGTTTATTTCAATAGAGACATGCTGAATACAAAGGGCTGAAATACATGAGTGATCATTAACATAAAATAATAGAACATTTTAATAAAAATTAATATTTTTTCTTGAACATTAACTTACCAGACACCAAATAACTGCACAAATTAATAAGAGTAAAGCAAAATAAAACTATTTTTCTTGTTCTCTGAAAGTGAAATATTTCCTATTGCGCATACCAAATAAGTCAGTCCAATGATGTGGCAATCGGCTGCTAAAATATTCGCTGCTAGTATTAATGGAGAGAAATGGTGCGCCTGTGCGTAAGGCGAGTAAGGGAAATGAATGCAACACGATTATAGTAATCAGTCATTAGTGAATGTTGTAGTTTGTTATTAATAATTATGTGTAACAGGATATTGTAAAAATTAAGTTATGAAATTTTTATTAAAACATTTCTTACATATCATTATATTGGCTGGGCCACAAAAATATACATTGTGGGCTGCATGTGCCCCTCGGGCCACGAGTTTGACATGCTTGCTCTATGTCATTGTCTGCGAAATGAGTATAATAATAACCCCTGTACTGCCTGTCCCAAGACAGGTGGCACTTTTATACTGGGGAGCCACATAGGAATGCCACATAAGGAAGCCATGTAAGTAGGCTGTGGATTCCAGACAGGCCAAACCAACTAAATCTCATTTGCTCTCTGTAAAACACAGTTCCTAATACCTAGATTTGAGAAAGTTTAAAGTCAAAGAGGATCTATTCTTTTCTCATCAACCTCTCTCATGTAAAAAGAAGAAACTGAGAAAACCCACTGTAGTGGCAGAGCTGGGGCCACACAGGTCTTCTCTCAGTCCCATAGAGCCCCTTACCTGCCTTTGCACATGACAGTCCAATGAAATGGAAGACAAGGAAGTGTTTTGTCCACTGTATCGGTGGCTATTGTGATTGTAATCAATAAAAATTTCCCCCCATAAATCTATTGCAGTGATGAAAAGTCCCATCATTAACTATGATGTCAAGGGCATGGTACAGTGTGAATATTTTGTCAGGAAAAAGCACATAAATACCCAACAGTTCTCCAGCAGGTGTGTTCATCAGAGTAGCTGAAGACTGCAAAAATAATATAAATGGAGTCACTTAGAAATAGAGCTGGAGCCCGGCTGGTGTGGCTCAAGGGTTGAGCATTGAACAGGAGATCATGATTTGATTCCTGGTTAAGGCACATGCCCGGGTTTCAGGCTTGATCCCCAGTGTGGGGAGTGCAGGAGGCAGCCCATTAATTATTCTCTCTCATCATTGATGTTTCTATCTCTCTCTCCCTCTTCCTTCCTCTCTGAAATCAATTTAAAAAAAAATAGAACTGGAGCTGCCATGCCAGAAGAACTGCCTTGCATGTCTTATACCTCAAATCTCTGGAACGTTAAAACACAGCCTAAGCAACCTTGTGCCTAACAGAAGAATTGTTTGGAAAGATAACCAGAAAGCAGTCATTATGATTACTGAACTAATGACTATTGGACTAAAAATTAAAACATTGTTTAGAATTAGCATCACTATGTTATGTTGTCTGCATCAATGGAAATGCCTTCTTTCTAGAGATGTGATTGTTCCCCAGCCCCTTCTCATAAATACCCATTGCATTTGTCTCTAAATCAGAACATTATTTGGGCTCTGTCTGAATTAATGATTCCCAAGTAGCTATACTTACTAGTATTGATCTCAAATAAATGATTATTAACCTCTTACTTTGAAAGGTCTTTTTATTTTTATGTTAACAGGATAAATGTCACTTAGCAGAGGACAGGATCTTGAGGGCACAGGACACAGGACAGGTAAGTTGTGATAGACAGGTGGTGGCAGAAAAGACCAGAGCTTTATATGCTCCCTATGAAGGAAAGAAAGCTTGGATGAGGATATAAAGGGTTGGGAAAGAATTGGATGCAGGAGGGAAACCCCGCCAAAGGAGGCTGATAGGCTTGCCAAGGCCTCCCTGAGAGCTGGTGGAATTGGACCCTCCTCTTTCCAGGCCCTTCTTTAGCAGCCAGACCCTATGGGGTAGACTTAAGCAGACATTTCTATATGTGGGCTCCTCAACGGAGAGTTCATTATAAGGAGATCACATGCCACATTGCAGCTTTGGATTGGAAAGCAAAAATCTCAACACTTAAAAGCTAAAGATCTTTAGCTTTCAGCCAACCTGGACCAGCTCACACTCCACTGAGCTAATTCTGTTCTGCTTCTCTTGTATTTCCCATCGCTTCAGCTGCTCCTCTGCTCTTCCAATTTCAATTGGTTTTCCATACATTTGTTCAACAAATACATTGAGCACCGACTACATGTCGGGCACACTAGGAATATAGAGCTGACTTTCCAGAGGAGGTGGGTGGAAGCTACTTCACTGAAAACAAATGTGTTAGCAAAGACTGGCTCAATCCAGAGCCCATTGCTGAGCAAAACTATTTACTGCTTTTGACAGGACCATCTTCACCACAAATATCCTAAATAAGATTGTACGCGGTACATCCAGAGAGCCCAACCCTCTCTCTATAAAGATACAGAGAGTACAATATTGTGTCTCAGAACATTGAAGGTAGTTAGGCAACGTGGGAGCAATCCCAGCTCCACTTCTTAGTGTGTGACCTTGGGTAAATTTCTTTCACTTCTCTAATCCTCCTTTTCTTCCTCAGAGTCACAGCAATAATGATAGTGCCTCCCTCATGGGTCCACTATAAGAATAAGATAGGGTTATACGTGTCAAACTCTGAGAACTGTTCCTAGCAAACCAAGTGCTCAACAAATAGTCACTGTTATTATAGATAAACTGAGGCCAAGGTGGGATGTGATTCATCTACTGCCTCTCACCTAGTTGGGAGCTGATCCAGGGTGGGAACTTAGATGTCTCAGTACCAGGCCAATGTTCTTTCCATGCTACTGCTACTTTCCCACTGGGAAATCCACAATGTGAATTTAGCTATATCCCATTTGAATGTTTAAACAAACTAGGAAATTTGAGATTGTATTACCATACAGAGGCTTTCTCATTTGGGCCACTAGAAAGGTTATATTTCTTCCACTCAAGTAACCTCATTGCCAACAACCAATCATCTTCCTCACCTCCTTGCTGAGGAAACTGAAGCTTCTGGCCTACCTCCACAGCAAGCACTTAAGATCAAGTATATCCTCCTGTCCTTATTTTGCTGAATCACTGTACCCCCGCAGCCCAAATCTTGACAGTTACTTCCTCATCTTACTTCTTTGCTTGGATTGAGCATTGCTTTTATAATTCCATTGACTAGAGGTTTACAAATAGGTGCAGAATATGTGGGTTCCTGATGTGAAGATCTGGGGCTCCATAATGGGTCAGCACACCCACCAATTCACAGCTGGGGTGGTGGCATGCCAATACTGGGCTCAGTGAAATTAACAGGCACCAAGTATTTGTGTCACACCAGAACATATCTAACAGCCCACTGATTACTCACAGCCTAAACCCTACCCACTTACTGATTCCACTGAATCACAAAGTGTTAGAGCTTGGTGTAACTTTAGAAATGATTTGCTCTCATCTCCATTTTTTTTTTTTTTTTTTTTTTTTTTGTAGAATAAAGAGTAACAGAGTGTAGGGGTTCAGAGTTTGGACCCTGTAGCCCAACTGCCTGGGCTCAATCCTATTTCTACTAATCACCCTAAGCCTTGGTCAACTTCAAGTCACTGTGCCTCAGTTTCCTTATCAGTAAAATGGGGTAAAGATACCTTATAATGATTGTTCTGAGCATTGAATCCTATCTAATAAAAGACAAAATGGTAATTAACCATACCTCTGCTACGCTTCCCATTGGCTAATCAGGGCAATATGCAAATTAACCGCCAACAAAGATGACAGTTAATTTGCATACGCAGTCTCCAAGTGGTGGAGCAAAGCCAAACTGCTCCGAAGCCACGGAGCCAAGAGGCCTCCTAGCACAGGCGTCAAGCGGAGCCGCGCCTCACACCCCAGGATCAATGGAGCAGAGAGGCCTTCTGACACCTGGATAAGCATGACAGGGGGCGGCGCCACAACCCCCAGATCAGCCCTGCTCTGTGCATGACAGAGGGCAGCACCCTAACTCCTGGTTCGGCCCTGCTCTGTGCGTGACAGGGGGCAGAGCCCAAACCCTCCGATTGGTCCCCCTCTGTGGGTGACAGGAGGCGGCGCCCCAACCCCCCACCCCCCATCGACCCTGCTCTGTGCTTGACAGGGGGTGGTGCCACAACCTCCTCATCAGCCCTACCTTGAGTGTGACAGGGGGCGGTGCCCCAACCTCCCAATTGGCCCTACCTTGAGCATGACTGGGGGTTGCATCGCAACCTCCCGATCCGCCTGCCCTGCTATTTTACAAACACTATTTTAAAGTAAATAAACCAAGAAGAGAGGAGATTGTGTGAGTCTCAGTTAGTTACATGCCTATATCAGCCCTGCTCTGAGCCTGACTAGGGGCTGTGGGGCAGGCACCTAGGGATTGGGCCTGCCCTCTGCCACCCAGAAGTGGGCCTAAGCCAGCAGGTCATTATCCCCCAAGGGGTCCCAGACTGTGAGAGGGCACAAGTGGGGCTGAGGGACACCCCCCCTGCCAGTGCACAAATTTTTGTGCACCGGGCCTCTAGTAAGTTAATAAATTGCAAAGTGGTTACAACAGTACCTGGCACATAACAAGCACTATTTTATTTTATTTACTTTTAAATATATTTTATTTTGGAGAGTAAGGGAGAGGGAGAGAGAGATAGAAATATCAATAATGAGAGAGAATCATTGATCTCATTGATCAGCTGCCTCCTGCACACCCTCCACTAGGGATCGAGCTGACAACCCGGGCATGTGCCCTGACTGGGAACCCAACCATGACCTCCTGGTTCATAGGTCGACGCTCAACCACTGAGCCACACCGGCCAGGCAACAAGCACTATTTTAAAGTAAATAAACCAAGAAGAGAGGAGATTGTGTGAGTCTCAGTTAGTTACATTCCTTCTGGGCACCCACAGATTGCATTAAATGGTTACTAGGGGCCCTTTATTCCACTATCATGGTGTTGGCATTCGTTACTGGGAAAGTTAGATCTGGAAATGCCACCCTGTGCTGCTCTCTGAGACATCAAAGCAGCTCTTTGGAAGTATCAAGAGCTTGATCACAGCAGTTAAACTTAACTGAGGCAGAAACCTTTGCAGCTCTCCTTTATGTCGTGGCCTCAGCCGAAGTCATTGCAGGAGGCTCCTTGGGAACTTAGAAATAGAGAGTGTGCCCACTGGCAGTGTCCTTGGGCTTCTGTCAGACATCACTGCACTGAGGCATCACTCTGCATGCCTCCATCTCTCCCTCTCCCTCTCTGTCTCTCTCTGATCCACCTCCTGTTGGATCTCTTGAAGGTGCCTGAAGACTCAGAGACTCTCCTCTTGGTTCCACCCAGGTATTCTCTTTCAGATCCTGATTCCATTAAAATAACTCTAATTAATTTGGTTCTACTGCTTTGGGGAGAAGAGTGATGGAGAAAGGGTATGAAATGGACATGTACAAAGAGTTCTAATTAAAAGGATACACTGCTTGCTAAAGATGAGGAAGGTGCCAGCCCCACACTGGTGCCAGACATAAGACTTGGGTGACAGGAAAGCTCCCCAGACACCCATGGAACCAGAGTACAGGCTGTTGTTCTACACCTCATTCTCTGTTTGTTGTACCTTTAATTCTAAGGGCAGGGGGGCAGGTAGTCAGACTAAGGTTGCTTCTCTCTTTCCCGCTATCATGATAACTCAAGCCCTCATCACTATAATTTTCTACTCCAGTCTCTCAGCCCACCCCCCTGCCTCCATGCAGTCCATGTGCACTCACTGCTAAAGGACCACTCCAAAAGCCAGTTTCTCATTATACCATTGCCCTGCTCCAACACTCCCAGTCTCCCTGCAGCCTCTAGGACAAAGTCAAACTCCTCACTAACCCTCAAGTCACACTGGTCTTATTGCTCACAGCTCCCCTACTCCATCAAAATTGAGCTCTGCTTTTCCACTCCAAGCTGTCCTCACATCCATACCTCCATGGAAACCATGGGTTCTACTCATTTACTAGCTGGGTGGCCTTGAGAAAGTTACTTAACCTCTCTGAGCCTCATGTTCTTTACTAAATGATGCTATCTAAAAGGGAAGGACTTTCCTAAAGAGAAACTAAGATACTACACAAGGGGCTCAATGAAAGTTAGCTATAATAATAACCATAATAATGATGATAATGTTGATCATTGTTCTATCTCAAGTTATCTCTTCCACACAGCTCCCTTTCTTCTCTTTTTGAAGTCTCCCTGTACTTGTGGGCACTCCCATATTCTCCATGTTATTGTAGTGGTTTTCCCACTTATCCTGTCTTCCTCATTGGAAGCAGAGCCTGTGACAGACCCACCTCTGAATCTTTTGTCTCATTTAAAAATTGATTCTGGCATTTGGTAGATGCTCACTAAAGGTTTATTTCATTTGGATGCTCCTGTGGACCCTCTAGGAAAGACCAGAGAACATAGGTGGTGACTCTGAGCTACTCAGGAATAATGGGTCCCTCTTCAGAGATGAGACAGAGCTGCTCATTGTAGGCACAGCACAGTCTGGGAAGCCAGAGGGACCAACTGGTCAGCTCTATGAACTTTCCCTTCATACCCCAACACCCTACTTCCCAAAGCTATTCTTAGTCACCAGAAAGAACATGGGGAGAGAGAGAGAGAGAGAGAGAGAGAGAGAGAGAGAGAGAGAGAGAGAGAGAGAGCTGCATTTATCACTTATCACTGAGAATCTACTTGGGAAATGGAAGAATAGAAAGAAA